CATTGAATGTTTAATCTTTATCTTTGTCATGCAATTGCTTCCATATTGCACAAGTACTTGGTAGAAAATTAATAAGACACATGCATATGTGCGTACTGAATTATTGACACGTGCATCCTTAATAAAAGTTTAATTGTGTTGATCTCATTGTCTTCTTATAAAATTACTGAATTATGTTCATCTCATTGTCTTCTTATAAAAGTTTAATTGATAAATTTGGATTTCAATTATAGCTAGTCATGTATTATTTTTTTTTAATTTGATTTTTATTCTTTTTTATTTCTAATTTTTTCTTGTTTTTTATTAAAATTTTATTAGCTTTCAATTTCAATCTCCAATCAAAATTTATAGTGTTTATTTTTTTTCTATTTGATCTTTATTTTTTTATTTTTTTTATTAAATTTATTTTTAATTTTTAATTTAACCCTTCAATCAAGAAAATCTGATTTTCTTTTAATTTATTTTTTATTTTAATTTTTATCTTCATTCTTTTAATTATAATTTTTGTTTTATATCCTTTTATATAATTGATTTTTTTTATCAGTTTCATCCTTCAGCGTTTAATTTGTTGGGGATTAAAATTTATAATTTTTCTATTTATGATACTTCTGATCTAATAAATCAGATCACAAAATTGAAAAATTAATATGATTTAATGTCTTATTTTTTTGCTCATAAAAAAATAGTTTTATGATTATCTTCTATCAATTTTTCTCTATTTAATGACTTATATCACTGGTTTTGTAGACCTTTTTAAATATAATGTTTTAAAAAAAAACATATTATTTTGTGTATTTAAATTAAAAAAATAATATTCTAATTCATCTATAATTTTTTTATTTATATAAATAATTTTAAAAAAATAAATATATAATATGTCTGATATGTTCGGCATTACATAATCCTATTATTTTTATTCAATTCAATCATTTTCATGTATGAGTCTATTCTTTTATTTTTTACTTTAATAAAAAATAATTTTAATAAAAATAATTTAACTAACATAACCCAATAAAAGTTTTAGATCACATAATCGAATATATTGATTTATATTTATCTTTTAGTTTTCTAGTTTTATTTTTAATTATTATTAATGATTTTTTTGTTTATTCACAAACATGGTTATTAATTTATTATATTATATACTTTCATAAATTTTTCATATAAAAAACACGTTTTTATAACCTACATATCTATTTAAAAAAATATAAATAAAAAGTATCCTTGTAAAATCACGGATAAAAAATATCTAGTAAGATAGTATTACGTGCTGCCCAGCAATATAGACAAGTGTGTTTGTTTTATATAGCATGGTCCCAACTTCCCAAATGACAATTATGCACCAACTTATTTTAAAATCCTCCTTTTCTTAACGGGGGACATCGAAGATCTTAACGGGGGACATCGAAGAAAGCTTAGCTTGAAAGAAATTGACCTTTTCCATCCCCGCATCCCGCATGCTTCAATCAAGTTTCTTAGCTCATGGTATAATTGACAGTTTGACACCCCTCTTCCTTCTCTTTTTCATTTTTTATGTGAGATAAATTAATATTAAAATCAAGACCGTTTTAATTGGAAGAAGGTGTTGAAGGCCCTCCCGTAATGTCATGGCAACCCCCGTAATGTGATCAGCCATGCTCTGCATGTGTACCAAAAACATATTGATTTCCTCATTTTATTTACTGAATTGAAAGATTGATTTCATTGAAGTTATATATAGCACCTTAAGAACAGCTCAAGGAAGAAACAAAGAATTAGTGATTTTGCGTTCGTGTATGGGCGAATGTTTGCTAGATAGATGGCTAGATCCGTATTGCGAAAAATCTATACAAGTTACTGCTTCATCAGCAGTGAGAAAAGCCTCCCCTTTAAATTACTCACTAATATACGTGAAGAAAGTTGAGTGTTACCCTCATGCAGGAAAAAAAAAAAAACACCTAAATAAGTATATCAGATAAAAGAAAAGAAAAAACATTATCAGAAAAATAGAACACAAAGAAAAGAAAAGAAACGAAACAATTGTGAGAGTCTCGGTTGACATTGTTGAACATATATTTAATGGAGCCTCCACATTGGTACTTGGATCTAAATGAAGTTCGTTTGTAAAATATCACACACACACTGAATCCACCACCCCAGAAAGGATAAAAAAGTGGTGGAGCTAGTGAGTTCTCAATCAATATATATATATATATATATATATATATATATATTGATTTAGCTAGCTAAATCAATATGTGTATACACACACACACACACTGAATCCACCACATCAGAGAGGGAAAAAAAAAGTTGTGGAGCTAGTGAGTTCTAAATCAATAAAAGTTGTAGCCATTGTAAATTAATCAGTAACTTTTAAGAAAGTGCTCTTTGCTTCTTTGGACCGGTGTTAGGACAATCTTGACCAGTCAACTACTTCAAGAAATAACATGGCAAGAAATTCCTAATGAATGTTTCAGATCATCATGCAAAATGATGAAGATCCTAATTGTAATAATTGAACTGCAGTCATTTCTCACTAATTTGTCTTCCTTTTCTTAACCAGCGCTATACGCAGTTTGCAAACATAAGATACAAGATAGTAATGACTTTGACAAGCGAAAAAACATATGATTTGATTAATTAGATTAGTTTTAGGTTAACCTAATCATCTCTTACATCCCTGAATATTCCTTTAGTCTATGGAATAGATTTACAACTAAATATTTCTAATTAATTATATCCAAGCCGCCTCTTGAGCCACTTTGTCTTCCGTTTTTAACCCATCAAGAACAGCAACAAGAGTTCTTCTTCTTCTTCCTCTTCTTCTTCTTCTATGAAAAATCATGAGCAGTAAGAAGGTCAATATATATATATATATATATACATACAAGTTTACTGTAATCGTTGCACCCATGCTGTTGCCGACCTTGATAATCAATAATGCAATAGAAAGGTAGCTTTCATGGCAAAAACAACACTCATAAATTTATCAAAACGTGAAGCGTGTCAGAAAGAAGGTAACGGTACGAAGTTGAAAAGGGGACAAGTGTCCAGCATCTCACCCTTAATTTCACACTTGGATCACCTAACATTTCACCTAAACACTTGGCTTTATGGGGGGAAGTCTTTTTAGTGTGCTACCCACAATATTTCAATAGCATGCATGACAGAAAGTTAAAGAGACAAGGATCATTAGATCTTGCCCGTCTTGGTTGGAAAACAAAAATATCTTTGCCCACAAGCAATTAAACACAGCTCATTTTCACTACCTTATTATTATTATTATTATTTATTGGAAACTGTTACTGTCCACGTTGTTTGTGTTTGTTAATTTCCTCAGTTTTCTTGCATAACTGAGCAATAATAACGGCCTTATTTTTCTGCTTTTGTAAGATTTTCTTTGTTAGATCAGTTTTCTATTCTCTGGCTAGTTTCCGGAGGCAGTTTCTTTATAACTTCTAGTTAATTAGGTCTGGTGCATTTGCAATGGAATGATTACTCTGTAATTACGTGCATATGTTCTAATTTATTTATATTTAGCTGGAGTACATGATAATCTCCCGAAATCCATAATTCTGATGAGAATTACCTTATATATCATTAATGTTGCCAAACAAATAATAAAGCTATAAAATTTTTTTATATCTTATCTTATACACAATATTTAATATTGATAAAAATAACCAATATACTTACATGGATTTAGAATAGATAAGATGTATTGGAGTTTAACATTTTGCTAGGCTCATTTGCTTGAGTTTAATATATAGCCGAGTTTTAGAAAATTAAGTTTAATAACTTGTCAAATTAACAAATATTTAAGATTAATGTATTGTTGAGTTTAAAAATATTAGATTTGAAAATAGAATTAGACCCAAGTCACATATACTTCTTATTCTGTCATAATAATTATACATAGTAGGTCATCATCCTATATTTAACCTTTCTATTCAAGGTTAAACTAATAATTAAGTTGTGTATAAAATATTTCAGTACATGACAACCAAATCAATTTTTGTTGATTTAAGCAATCTCTACAATAATGGTTAATTTGTCCTACATTTTATTATTTCAAATTAAATATCTATGCTTGATGAGGTCCATAAAATGCCAATTACAGTGGCGCAAATAATTTTAAGTTAATCAGATCCTCAAGGAAGGGGTGCGTACAAGTCAATTTCTTCACCTTTTAAAGTTTTGTCAAGCTTGAGACGTGGTCTATCCTGGTTGGGTCTTTTAAAGTTTGATAAGCCCATCACAAATAGTCAAATAATTCATGTCAACCAATAGAGATCAAATTATTGCAATTATAAGTGAAGGTTAAATTGATAGGTTCAAAACACAAATAGCTGGTTCATAATTCAAAAATACCCACGTTAATTTTGACGCAAGGTCCTCCATCAAATTAATTTGAATATTAATTAATCAAAACCTTTACAATTCATAGTAGTGCTTCCAAAAATTATTTCATTCTTTAATCCAAAAATACTCATTTTTTTCTATATACAATAAGATCCTTTATCAAATAAAAAAAAATCAATTAATCAACAAAACCCTTAACAATTCACAGAGCATGCTTGCTCAGTAATATTTTTACATGTATAATTCTTGGATCTGACTCTGAATTCAATATTCCCCAAAGTAACCAATTGAAAAACTGACACAAGGGGAAGTTTCATATAGAACTTCAAAGTGGAACTAAAGAGAAAAAGGAAAAGTTGACAAAATAAATAAAAAAAGGTTGACACTTTGGAGGGGCCAGCTAATAAGGTTGCTTTTTAACTTAGTGGAATCATATCAGGACAAGTGATTAGTGCAGGCAGTGAAAGCTGCTTGGACCCTGTAAGAATACTGATGGAGCTAAGCATTAATAATTAATACATGCATGGCGAGAAAATTGGATCAGAAATCAAACCCAGAAATAAGAAACTTAATTACTTGATATATGAGGAAAGAGAGAAGAAATCCGGAAATTCAGATTTATTTCTTGCTACATCCATAATTACTACATATTGAATTATCTTTTTTTCATATCAAAACTAGGTTTATTTCCAACCTTTCGAAACAATATCACAATTACAAAGTAGATACTTATAACAAGGCAGCATTTAATTCCCTGAAATATACATACCTGGTTCTCATTCCTTGTACAAACCTTCTTGATCAATAACATTAACAAGAAACAAAACAACCTTAAATGAACAGTTATGAGGCAAACATTTTATTGATCTATCAACTATCACCAACTACAATAGTAATAATACCCAACAAGACATAGCTCCTGTATCCTAATTAGCCACTCATACTTTTTTGCTTTCTCAATTCCTTGTAGAACTTCGCGATAAACTCGTCAGCTTTCTTGTCCACAAGACCATTATCATCGTCAACATCTCTCAATGGAAACGGTGAGTCTGTTATCCTCAATTGCCTCACCATTGGGCTCCTTCCAAACCCTGGCAACATTGGGGATGCCTCCACAGGTACAGGCAACTCATTGTTGTTCAATAACTCCAAAGCCAGCTTCACAGCATTCATGGTCACCATATCATGATCATCATGAGTTGGTGGCGCGTTGAATGCACATGCAAAGAAGTTATTGTGGTGGTGGTGGCGGCGCTTGTTGGTATGGAAGGGGAGCGAGTATGTGGGAGTGTTGCTACAGCTGAACTCATACTCGTATGGTGTGGATTTGGATGAGACGTTGCGGTGGTCATTGTGGTGGTGGTGATGGTGGAACATGAGGTTACCTATGGCTTTGCTTGCAATCTTGTTGCCACGTTTAAGCATCATGTTGAGATCAACCAAGAGTTTTCTCTTTGATAAGCCCTTTCTTAGCATGAAGAAGATAACACGTACTATGCTCCATGCTTTTTTGGCTATCACTGGTAGATTTTGATCCATAGTGTTTTGTAACTTTTGTGCCTTTTATTTTCTTTTTGGAGAGAGTTTTTCCTTCTCTTTCTTAGGGGTTTGAGAGAGACGGAGAGCGGGAGAGATAGATAGAGGGAGGAGATTTGTTTTTGGGACGAGAGGGAGAGAGGCAAGGTGAGGGACTATATAAAGGGGTGGGGGGGCTGGAAATGGAAGCAAGGAAAAGTCTTAAGTTTTGATGAACACTAGAACAACCAATGGGTGGATGGACACTTGGAATTATCTAGGGTTTACTTAATAATTGGTTTGATCTAATCCTGTGTGCCACAGGTCTCGTGAGCCCGAAAAGAGAGACCCCATTCTACTTATACGAGTGATTTGTTTGTTTCTGTTAAATTTAGAAAGGCGGTGCATGGAAAAAGGCTTGGCTTAGCTTCAATTAGGAGGGGTAGGTGAGAGAAGAGAGCAATGCCTCAAACAATTAACCATGGAAATCTTATTATTTTGGATTTTAAGTATTATCACGTGCAAGCCCTTTGTACGAGCTAAATCTTTTGTAGGAGATTTCGGAATATTAATAAAAATGAATAAGCGAGGCACTCAGAGCTTTACTAACCTGTATAATAAACTCCTTTCTATTGGTCTGTTTAATTTAATTTTAATATTTTTTAATTTATTGCTTTACCATACATTTTTATATATTGCTCATACATAAATATATTAGGTGTGGAATAATGTCATCATGCATCTTGATTTTTTAATACACCAAATTTTATATTAGATGGGGAGTAATGGTTTGTCTCGAGATTTTCGGTCGGAATTCAAATTTATAAAATATTTAATAATGAGCTGAATATTTACTCGGTAACGTCATTCACAATATGTCGCAACCATTTTTTATAAACTATTATAATGACTTCTCGAAAGGCAGTCGCTGGGCAAATTAAGATCTTTTCTAAACCAAATAGAAAACTTACCCCTTGTATAGTGACACGATAAAAAAATCGATGTCTTCTCCCAAGTGCAAGAGTGTCGAAATAATAAATAACTCGACAAGACCAGGATCGAACTACAGGAAGATTAATTGTATAAATTATAGATAACAATAATACAATAACAACAACAACAACAACAATAATAATAGTAGTAGTAGTAGTAATAGTAGTAGTAGTAATAATAATAATAATAATAATAAAGAAGAAGAAGAAGTTGATGAGAACTTTAAGATGGAAGATTAACCTAAGGATTAAACAATGATAACAACAAATGTCAAGGTTAGAGGATTCACTAATAGTATGTCAAACAAGTATAGTATAAACTCTTATTATTTAATTGAAAACCACACATACAAAGGAGGTTCCAATCAGATTATAATTGTTAACATGATTACATTAGTTATCTTATTCAATTAATACTAATACTTGTAAATATTATCAAGTATTCATGATTATAACTTATGTTAACAACAAATCAAATTCCTTTCATAGTTCAGGTGTGATTATACCATACAGTATGGGCTATGAGAGTACCAAGTATTTGTTGTACCAAGTGTTATACAATATAAATTTAGATTAGTCATTTAACAAGTAAAGTATTAAAGAGTGAACAAGATAACAAATACAAAATATGTTAGTATCAAACATTAAACTCCATATTAAGTTTACAGTATACTTATTCTTACACCATTACTGTAACCTTTTTACATTGACATAATAAACTTAGCTAAACATAATGAAAGAAAAAAAGTAAATAAGCAAAATAAGAACATAAATACAAAGAGAGAAAGCAAGAGCATGATCTTGATATGAAAACCAAGATGGCTAAATGTATGGCAAATGCCTCTTTTTATAGGCTAAAATTAAGAACTATTGATTTGATAACTAATTGATGAGTGGATGGTCAACTCTTGACTTGGTGACAATCCTTATCTTCTCTTATCTGCCCAAAACATCATTGATAATGTCAGAATTGGAACCACTTGAAACATGAAAGTTGTAGAAAATTGTCTCAGCTTTCTAGAAAAAAAAAAATGAAGGTCATTTGGACTTCTAGAACTCCAGATATGAGTCAAATACTAAACAGTGCTTGTGCTGTAGGACAGATTCGGACTTCTTTGTTGTTGCTACAATTTGGACTTGAAAATGATATTTTTAAATCTTGGGCTCCATATGAAAGTTGTAGGCCAATGTCTTAGCTTTCCATCCATATGAAGTAGACTTAAATCCGAGATCTACAGCTCTATATATGACCCAATTACCGAACAGTGTTCTGGTTTGGACTACACCGATATCTCTTTTCTAAGTTTGGCCATCTCTTTGCCCTTTCAATTTCAATTCTTAAATTCATCAATCAATCCTTTTATTTATGTGATAAGCCCGCATTTAAAATGAACATTTACTACAAATTAAAGGTATCTTATATTATTAGATATGTTATTATAAAATATGTTTTAGTTAAGGAGTTATTGATACTTTAAGTGCAAAATGATGATATAAAACCTTGATAAAAATGCACTTTTAAGTACTAATCACACCCCCCAACCATCTTATTACCAGTCCCCAGTAATCAAAGTGTTAAAATAGAAAAACAATTTGCAAATTCTTCAAAGCAATGTATTCATCATTCAACTTCTATTAATCTATCTAGATAAATAAACTCTTATTAAATTTATATATCTACTCAATACCTCTTAAACAAGATATTAATAAACCTTTTTTTTGTGCTCAATATATCAACACATAGTTATGGGGCTTTTCTTGGAAGAAAACAATATTTTTGTTCTAATCTTTAAGGTTAACTTCCTTGGGTTGTGATTATTACTATTTTTTCTCTCTTTTTTTTCTTATTTTATTTTTTTAATATATATACATGTAACTTAAAACACCATGCATCTTTAACTCATGTAACGAGCTTTCGGCTAATGAGTCCCAAACTAGTTGGTCTTAGAGCATTAGGTGTTGAGACACCCTATTAGCTTAGTAACTCGGGTTGCCGATACTGATACGTAGATAGTGCAATGTTTGATTTCCTTAAGCTTTTCTCCTCAACCCATGTAATAAGCGTTGGGCCAATAGCTCTCAAGTCAGTTGATTTTGGGGTATTAGGTGTTAAAATATCCTTTCGGGCTTAATTGTTTAGGTTAGGGAGGCTACAAAACCAAACTTATCTATATTTTTATTATCATCATTTTTTTTTTTACTTTTTTTTTCAAATTATATACTATCCCTTTCCCTTTAACAAAAGAATATAAATAATATAATAATCCAATGTGCAATCCACAATCATATGTTAAAGTGTGTGTGTGAAAATTAAGGTTTAAGAATACATGTTAAATGAGCATATGAGCAGAATTAAGTGAGAACAATGTGAGAGTTTGTAAACTTGAATATTTTAAGAAGTATTATGATAGATCTTGTTAAGAATGGTTACTAAGATGGGTCTCAAGAGTCACTTTAACAAAAGAGCTCATTTACTCTGCTATCCTAGTAACAACAATTTTGCACATGTTTTATGAAATAGAAAACATAATTAGTTAATTTTTTTATCAACTACTACCCTCTCCCCCTAACCAAAACGAGACATTATCCTCAATGTCCTAACGTAGAAAGATAGAGTACAAAAGACATCACTTGAAATAACAAACACTAACAAACCTAAAACACACTTAAACAAAAATAAAAAACAACAAAATATAATAATAAAACCAAAAGACACAAAAATTCACAAATGAAGACTCAAATCCAATCTAAGGTTTTTACAGCTTTCCTTAGATGATCAATTTATGCAACTCATGGAAGGATCAATTACATGAATGAAAGATTGTAGTTGGTCAATCAATTGTTCAGCAGCAGCAGCAGAGATTATGATTTGTCATGCAGAAGATGTTAGAAATTCCTATTCCACAACATGATTAAGAAAAGACAACAACTTATCATAATAACCATTAACATTTAACAGATCTATGGGTTTATGGTGCATGTGCAGTTGGGCCTAAGAGGAAATATGAAAGATCTCTTCAAATGTGCCTAGACCATCTGATAAGGTAATGAAGGCAGCAACATGGTTAAACATTGCATTCATTCGAGCAGATATTGTGGAGACTTGTAGTTCCTCTCCAATTATTTTTTCAATGATGTCCCCTTGTACTAAAGCTTTGGGGATGACCCCCAAAACTTGACTATCTCCTAAAAATACAGCTATTAACACACCTTGCATTAACCCAAGACTACTTCCCCCATACACTAAATGAATCTTTCTCTCAGCTAACACTTGACCAAGATAATTTGCTGATTCTTGAAACTCCTTTTCTTTCCTAGAACTAGATCCATCAAAAACACAAATATTTCTTATCTGTTGATTCTAGAAACTCCTTTTCTTTCCCAAGACTAGATCCACCGAAAACACAAATATTTCTTATGTGATGACCTGAGGAACTTGCCATTTTTACACACTTTTATATTTGTTAAATGTAAGGGTTAAGTAGAAATGAAAGGAAGGAAGAGAGGATTTTATAGATGAGAAATTAAAAAGGCAATCCTACCACCTATATGTAGGCCAGCTAGAGTCTCACTTTCTCTCTCTCTTTATGTATTTATTTATTTTTGAAAAAACATATGTATATACAGGTAGTTGTGATTGTGGGTCACATCTTCCCTTGGTTTTACGTCCAAGAATTGCTTAAACACCCTTTATGGGTCGGGGATAGGCTTCCCATCCAGTTTTCTTAAAAACTAGCAAACAAGGTCTTTTTTAGTTAGATTCCAAAGACTAAGTCGATCATGTTCTTTATGAAAATAGAGCCATAAATCATGAATTGCACAATGCACATCTTCACTAGGATGCGTCTCAAGAGTTAATAAAAGATTATCTAAAGACTCCTTACTTAGGCCATCCTTAATGAATTGTATTTTATCTTCATGGTTTATAGATATCATTCCTAAAGAACGACATTGTGCATTATAAGTCCATCTGACATATCGATGATAGACTTTTAGTCATTTTGCACGATGTTTCTTTGCAAAAGTGGTTTTACCTGTTCTAGGCATGTGTGAAATAAAGGAATTAGAGGACTCACCTGATAATCGGACCTTTGCTTCAATCAACCAGCGAATATCTTCAGGAATTCCATGATTCATTA